GACCGATTCCCCTTCTGACCTACTTACTGTTCAGCATCCACTGAATGATCTACCTCTCTGAACAGCCTGAACGTTTCTGGTATCACTAAGGAGAAGTACTTCACATTCTCCTTCTTCACTTACTTTCTAAGTCTTAAGAATTGTACTAAGAATTATTATTATTAGTAGTAGTAGTAGTAGTAGTAGTAGCATATTTAGTGAATAAGCAAAAAGCATAATACTTATGCACTATTAATGCCCAGTTGGTATTATTCAGTGTAGATGGAAAAACTCTTTAAGGCTTATAATGATGTTGGCACACCTAAAATCTGTACTTACACTGAAATTAATTTAAAAAAAAAAAGAAAATCTCTCTGAAAAGCAAACACATATTCTGTATATAGTGATCATCATCTTTCTATCTTCCTGAGGGTGCTAGTCATCTCTTCTTAATCTGCACCAGAATGAGGCAGAAAGTGCTCTGAGCTTTAAATGAGCAGTGTGTGTAGACAGACCTCGAACCACTGTGATCACAGCAAGATTGGACACACTGTACTGTTTTGTATGAAACTGTTCACCAGTCTACTTGCATACTCATACCTGTTAGTCTAGGCAACACTGTGACCTTCTTTCATGACTCTCCGAGCCTCACCGGGTCTGGTATCGAACAGCGTGTGTATGAGGCTAGCAACTTGTAATTTTTTAATTGGTATTTAATGAATGGTATTTAAAACATGTATAGTTATTTTATCTAATAAAACAATTTTTTTAAATCTCAGTTCCTTTGACCATGTCCCGTTTACTTGGTGCTCCAACGCAGAGAAACTGATGCAATAATAATAATACCCAATTATGGCTGTAATAAAAAGTGTAAAAGTCTGGAAGAATTGATATCTTTCTCAGAAGAGGACTCATAAACGTACTGAGCATACTAAATCTGCTTACCTCTGCCCAGAGGTTAAGACATGGCTGTAGTTGGAGCCTTCATCGGGAAATCACGAGTTTGAATCCTGACAATGCCACAGCCATTTGTGAAATGCACAAATAGTGTTTTCCTCCGAGTGTGGTACATTTACAGGTCAAAAAGGTCGTGTTGGTTGGGTTCACGTGTATCAGCGGAAGCACGTGTTGGCCTACACTCTTGGCGTTTGGTAGCTGCTGTATGATAGGGGAGACCATCAGCCAGCTACCAACCTGCAAGAGTGAAGGCCAACACATGCTTCCTCTGATGCACATGAAGCAGGTGACCAATTTCAGGAGGAAATGGGAGAGATAAAAAAATCCTGTGCATTTAAAAGTGCATTTATTCTCGTCGTGGGAGGCTACAAGTATATTAATTGTGGTGGTGATAAATATGAAACCAGAAAAATATACGCAACATATGTTTGATAAAATATCGTATTAAAGTAAAACTCTGGAGAAGGTCCAAAGTGTAAAAAAATAGTGTTGATTTTATAGATTAATTGTTGCTCATTTTCATATAGGGTGCCAATAATTCTCTAGTATAGTGTAGATATGGGATGAGGTTGATTTGAAATATTCTTTCTTAAAGAAGTGAATGAATGCCACAAAGTTGTGCCACAGTTTTACGTAGACGTTTGACCGCTGTGCTTCAGAACAGATTTGGCCAGTAAGACATATACAGTTAGGTCCGGAAGTATTTGGACAATGACAGAGTTTTTGTGATTTTGCCTTTATACACCACCACAATGGATTTGAAATAAAAGATGTGATGGAAATGTAGACTTTCAGCTTTCAGCTTCCGGACCTGACTGTATTTCTTGTTCTCCGGTTTACTCTCACCCACCGTGTTTTTAAACTGCCAGTGTGCCCAGTTATTACCAGGATAATACAGGCCACTACTGAGCCCGTTACCTGGCAACAGCCAGAATACATGTCTCTGACTTGTGCCTGTGGGTGTCACTCGGGTAGAAAATATTGTCTGGATAGTGTGGGCAATAGGAGTTATAACATGATGTTCAGTCCTCTTCATGTGTTCATGTTTGTGTACACATGCTGTTTTGATAAACCATAACCATAAAGCATAAAGAGTTAGAAATGTATTTCCACATCATCAGCAGGGATTTTACCATGTCTTGAGGTTTGTTTGTAGTAATTGATCAAATTTGTTTTTCAAATTTGAAACAGAAGCTTTTGTGAAAGTAACGCATGACACATGACATCATGCTTTTATACAAAAAATAATCCATCCTGGCTTACAGTTAGAACTACTGTCAGAGCTGCTGTTATATAAAATTAATCTTCTGACCAATCAGATTTGAGAACTAACCCACGCTGTAATTAGATTAGTAATATGCTGTAATTCGAGTGCGTCATTAAAGGGAGAAATTTCAGTACATATGCTAAATTATACTAAATGTATAAGCGAAAGGATCTATTTTCAACCATGTGTGTAACATAAGTTACAAAATGAATGTGATTAAATGAGCAGTTTATAGAGTCTTCAACTGCCTGCCATGCGAACTGCAAACGAAAGAGGCGAGGTCGAGTGCCTCTGTACGTGACTGGAGGTGGAGCTAATTTCAAGACTGGAAAAAATGTAAATAGGAGCCTGAAACAAAGAAACGAGTGACATCCAGTGATACTGTTCTGGGTTTTTTGAAGATATTATTGAAATTATATGAATGTTATAGGTGGAAAACAGTTTTTAAAAAGATTATCTCAAATCAAGACTTACTTTAGCATTAAGATTTTGCTTCTAATAATATAAAAATGTTGGTTTTGACAAAACAGAAGTTTTTTCCAAATGCAAAATCCATTTATAGTTACATTCAGTAATGCGGAACGGCTGCGAAACAAGTTTCTGTTATCACTTACACGAGCTCTTGCGGCTATAAACGGTCATTTGCTCACCAGCGTCCGTTTTCGTTTCTCTTTCTTGAAGTTAATGAGGAAAAAAGTGCGGCTTGTCATGTTACCAAGAAACCACAAAGCCCTCCGTCCTGAAGTCCTGAATGTCGGAAAACTTACAGCTTTCCCTCTGACCATTACAAAGCGCTGACGCTGAAGACTCCTCCTAAAAATGCTAATAATATTTCCTCATGGAAAACCTCAGCATATCAACAATTAACCCTGATTGTATTCCTTTTACATGGAGCATCCCTGTGTAAGATGTTTCTATAACTGTTGTCAAGCTTGCCGTTATAGAAAAATAATCAACACCTTCTGACCAATCAGACTCGAGTATTCATCAGCACTGTGGGAGAAATTAATCTGAATAATGTAACAAAGGCAAGCTTGTATTCTGTAAGCTAATAACTAAAACTGTGATGGCAGAATGCAAACTTGTAGCGCCTCATATAATTAAATATCGACGTTTTTACTACTCTTCTTCTGAAACGCTGCTGATTATGTTAGATTCATCAGCAGTTAGTCAGAAGGGGGACATGGGACATGACCTACAGCAGCCATCTTAGCTTATGGTAAGGCTACATGGTAATGTAATGGGGCTTGGTGATCAGTAAATGTTTGTCACTCTATCTAACCTACTGGTTTTAATATTTAACATATTAACTGTCTGTGTGTGTGTGTGTTTTTTTTTTTTTTATTATTAGAAAATAATTTTGCCTAGAATTATAATTGTAACAGTGTAAAAGGTTCTTTGCTAGTAACTGGAAGATTACGGTTGGGTGAAAAGATGCAGCTAAATAGTATACACGACTCTGGCAAAAAAAAATAAGCAATACATGGTTCAATGTGTTCAGCTGTAATTTTGGATAAAAAAAAATGTCTGCTCAATAAATCAAAGTAAATTAGGCAAATTTGAGCAGTTACGTTTTTGGCATTGATGAAAGAAAAGTGCTCTCCATTTGATATGTTCTCCGTGGGGTTCTCCAGGTTGTTGTCTGTGTCAGAGCAAGCAGGAAGATCTGTTTCCAATAAATGTCACCGAACTTGTATAAGGACAGTTTGCTTACATGACGGTCTTGCTGTGTATCTTCAGTTAAGATCGGTGCGTGATTAAGAGTAATAATGTTATTGACACCGTGCTGATTACTCACTGTAGTATATTTAGTCGATCTCTTAAACACAGAACCATCGGCCCTGCTAGTTTCAGTGTTTCATGAAAACTCCGAGTTATTTTTAGATATGAATGTTTAGTATCCATGAGACTGGGATAACTGGATAACTACTTCATATATTATTTTATATTCCACAGGTTTTTACTACAGTGTCTGGAGGACTTGGACGCCAGCCTCCGCAAACTCAACTCCCGCTTGTTTGTAATCCGGGGCCAGCCCACCGATGTCTTCCCCAGACTCTTCAAGGTACCATAACATTCCTCTCGCACACATTTAAGGTCGTAATTACGCTAGTATTTGTGTGCACAATCGAGTGCAGAAGTTAGCATCCCTCATGCTTTTTGAATAAAGTTCTGCAGCACAACAGCAGTTCAAAGCAAAGGCAAAATTCACCAAAATGTTTTTAAAAGTTCATTCATTCGTTCATTTCCAGACCAGAGATCAGAGTTCAGTAAGTTATCAACATTTTTTTAAAAATGATGTAATAAACGTTTTGCTCAGTTGAACTTACGTTTAGTCATGGAGCGAATAAACATTAGTCAGAATAGGTGTATTTTGTTAACATTTTAAACAAATATCAGATAATACATGTGTTAACTTACTCAGTTTCTTTGTTAACATGACTTATGATTTATTAATGTTTGTGGTTTGTTAATGCAGTAATATTGCTAGTTAAGGGCACCTTAATGTTATATATTTATGTAACTTTCAGAATGGAGATGTAAACCTTTGAACGGATATCATTTAGTTTTTTTTCACTATTAATATCTTGATATGTTGTTTCAACATTTTTGTTATTTTGATAATGGAAGAACATCTGTGAAAACTAAGTGTCTTGATCAATTAAATTTCTTTGTCTTGTTTAAATTTACAGCACTTAGCAGACGCCCTTATCCAGAGCGACTTACATTCCTCTCGTTTATACAACTGAGCTGTTAAGGGTTAAGGGCCTTGCTCAGGGGCCCAGCAGCGGCAGCTTGGCATGCTGGGATTTGAACTCATGACCTTCTGATCAGTAGTCCAACATCTTATCCACTGCGCTGCTCCTGCCACAGCTTGTTCTAGGCGTATACACATTTTTGCACCCCACTGTATGTAACGGTTAATCCGTTTAGTCTGGACAAACGGCTAAAATGTCCACTACAGCACATTTTCTTTTCAAGTTCGGCTCTTCTTATTATCCCTAGAACCCGATCATGAAGCTAAGTCAGCAGATGATAGTCATTATATTTCTTTTTGAAGGAGTCCCGTTCTATGTTCCAGTCTATGTTCCAGTCTATCTTCCAGTCTTGCTACAGTTTCCAGATTTGGTTTCACTGAAGATTGCTCTCTGTTCTGTACACATGCATAGCATAGTTTGTCTTGTTAATGCTAATAACGTTCTCTTGATCCATATTTAGGAGTGGAACATCACCCGGTTGTCTTATGAGTACGACTCGGAGCCGTTTGGGAAGGAGCGAGATGCAGCCATTAAAAAGCTGGCCAGCGAGGCCGGAGTGGAGGTGACAGTACGGATCTCTCACACGCTGTATGATCTGGACAAGTATGTACGCCGCCAACCGCCAGTCACTACCAAACAATCTCACTGCTGTATTGGAAAGTGATTTAAAGAACTATAACAGTTCCTTTTTTTTTTTTTTTCCTGCATTCATTTTCAAATCATCTTCTGTTCTCTCATTCTCTTTCCACTCTTCTCTCTCACTCTTTCAGGATCATAGAGCTCAATGGTGGCCAGTCTCCACTCACCTACAAGCGCTTCCAGACCCTCATCAGCAGGATGGAGGCGGTGGAGACTCCTGCCGAGGCCATCACGGCAGAAGTCATGGGCTCCTGCACCACTCCTCTTTCTGATGATCACGACGAGAAGTTTGGGGTCCCTTCCCTGGAAGAGCTTGGTGAGTTTCTCATGTTATAATTCACTTGCCATTTGTGTCCGAGTCGGTCCCAGTTTAGAGCAGCAGAAACGGTTTTATGAGTAGCTGTATGTCTTGCACACACAAGCTGTGTTCTCAGCCCTCTCCTTGTACCCCTTGTACATCTACGTCTGTGTGGCCACACACAGCCCCAGTGTCCTTGTCAAATCTGCGGATGATACAACGGTGGTAGGTCTGATCGGCAACAACATAAGTAAGTGTAAATGTTCAGAGGATTGGTTTGATTGGTGTGTTCAGGTTTCGACACAGAGGGGTTGTGCTCAGCCGTGTGGCCTGGCGGAGAGACTGAGGCCCTTACACGGCTTGAGAGGCATCTGGAGAGAAAGGTCAGAAATGCTTTTTTTTTTTTAACCAGGCACAAACATTTATTTTTTTCCTCTGCCTTTGTATGGACAAAATAGTCCTAACATAAAATAGAAAATGATGTAAATGATAAAGTTTGGCACAATTTTACTAATAGTCACTAAACCAAAACTATGCTTCCAGGCATGGGTGGCCAACTTTGAGCGTCCCAGAATGAACGCCAACTCACTGTTGGCTAGTCCTACTGGCCTCAGTCCTTACTTGAGGTTTGGCTGCCTCTCATGTCGACTCTTCTACTTCAAACTCACTGACTTGTACAGGAAGGTAAAAAAAAACTTGTATCTCCATTGTACAGTGATGGAACTGACACTAATCAGATCCTCGGTTCTGAATTTGACAGCCCTCTCTAAAGTCATTTCTGGAGTCACACTAATCCAGTCTTCCTCTCCTGTCTGCATCCCTCAGGTGAAGAAGAACAGCTCGCCACCTCTCTCGCTCTACGGACAGCTGCTGTGGCGCGAGTTCTTCTACACAGCTGCCACCAACAACCCACGCTTCGACAAAATGGAGGGCAACCCCATATGCGTGCAGATCCCGTGGGACCGCAACCCAGAGGCGCTGGCCAAGTGGGCCGAGGGCAGGACGGGTTTCCCCTGGATCGACGCCATCATGACCCAGCTGAGGCAGGAGGGGTGGATCCACCACCTGGCACGCCATGCCGTGGCCTGCTTCCTCACACGCGGAGACTTGTGGGTTAGCTGGGAGGAGGGCATGAAGGTACTGTGCCCTTAACACTAACCTTTTGTTTACTGTTTGTCCATGGATGCCTCACTGAGACATAATTTGGAATATAAGTCATGAATCTAAACAAAAGCGCTCATTTTATTAAAAGGGGGATCAGTATTTTTTGCAAAATTATTTACAAATTTAAAAAAATGTAGAGGTGATTGCATAAGTGCTGTGAAACCCCTAAATTAGTTCTTTTGGAAAGAGCCAAGGTTACAGCATCAAATGTTGATGTTTTAATAAAGATTTACATACCATTAGTAGATTTATTTATTTTCTTTTTCCCCCAGTAGCTGAGTTTATGGCTCTAAGTTTAAACTTGAAACTTCATTGCTACATTTTGCCCCCTAGTGGAATAACACAGACTAGCTGTTTTTACTTTCAGTCTTTCAGTTCAATTATGTCCACAAGGCAATGTTAATTTAGAGCATCAATAGTTTTTTTTTTTTTGACAATTTTCATTAGATTTGTGTCTGCAGCTGAAAAAGTAATTTTTTTAAAAACCTGTAATCCATATTGAAATTCCAATGATATGATTTGAAGTTCACATTAGTCAGTCTCTTTATATGTAAATGTGCACAAACCCATATGAATGTTTTCCCAAAATGGATTTTTATGAAGAGCAAATATTATATATATATTAAATAAAGAATACCACATACAGCTTGATAAATGAGGGCCAATCCAAGTCCCATTTCAAACCTCAGCCACTGTCTTTTAACTTGTAAAAAAAACTTTTTTTTTTTTTTACTTTCCTTTGCTCTTGTAAGTCTTCAGCCAACACGCTGGAGCGGGGAATGAGAACACATTGTCTGTTGTGCTGATCTGGAGTGTCACCTTTTTTTCAAAAGTTAGACCCGATACCTTTAAGATGTCGGAGCCAAGCACTTCAAGGATAACTTTATTTCCTTAGATTAAAAAGGAAAGTATTGCATCCATCCTTTTCAGCATCCTTGATTTGAGAAAAATGAAATACAAAAGATACAAAAAAAAAAAAAAAAAGAGAGAGAGAGAGAAAAGTGCTTGTGAACCCATTTGGTGTAGTTGCATGCTTTACACAGGAGGTGTCTCTGCAACCTCATGTCATTGCTGCAATACAGCGCTCTGTTATGGTGCCAGGTGTTTGAGGAGCTGTTGCTGGACGCAGACTGGAGTGTGAACGCAGGCAGCTGGATGTGGCTCTCCTGCAGCTCCTTCTTCCAGCAGTTCTTCCACTGCTATTGCCCGGTGGGTTTCGGCCGCCGTACCGACCCCAACGGGGACTACATACGGTGGGTTGGATTGAATTGCGTGCGTGTTTATGATCTTGTAGTCTCTGTGAAGAAATATTTAGAGCAGGTTGTTTCCTGACATAGGGCTTATGTAACCAATCCGATTCCTGTTGTCATGTAGACGGTATTTACCTGTGCTGAGAGGATTTCCTGCCAAGTACATCTATGACCCCTGGAACGCCCCGGAAAGTGTGCAGAAGTCGGCCAAGTGTGTGATCGGTGTGCACTACCCCAAGCCCATGGTACACCACGCAGAGGCCAGCCGTCTCAACATAGAGCGCATGAAGCAGATCTACCAGCAGCTGTCCTGCTACCGCGGCCTGGGTAAGTCTCATCTGTGTAGCTGGGAGACATGAGACATGTGTTTACCTCATGTACTGTGTGTGTGTGTGTGTGTGTGTGTGTGTATATATATATATATATAGTACAGTATACTGTGTGTCTTTGTTGTATACGTTTAAGCGTAAAGGTTTGCATAGCTAAAGATGTGAATGATGAAGCTACACTGAAATAATATTTCTGCATTTGGTATGAACGTGTAATTCCGTTTGCTGCAAAGGATTTTTTATTCCAGTCTCCTGCTGTTTTCTGGATTTTTCTAAAATCTCTTGCACTTTTTGGTTCGCCGCTATTTTTCTTCCAGTCTCTGGTAGTGTCTGTCTTTTTTTATTTTTTTTCCTTTCACTTATATGTGATTCTTTTCAGGGTTTGATAGCTGCTTATCCCCTTTTCCAGCTCTGTGTTGATATTTTCTGTTTCACGTTATGAAATAGCTGTTTTCCTGACTCTGTGTCTGCTCACAGCAAACAGTTAGAGCATCACTTTGAGCCCCTTTCAGTCTTTTTTTTTAAAACAGCTGAAAGCAAACACGTGTCAAGTATTTGAAGTTATTAGGATAACTTAACGAGGCACTTTCACATAAATTGTCAACAGGGATGCAGACTTCTGTGCTTGCTAATGAAGCTGCTGACGTACTCTCTTACTCTAATGTTTAGTCTGCATGTTGTGACTTGTTTTCAAAAGAAAAACACTATTAAATAAAAAAAAAAATTCAATAAATCAGTAAATAGTGGGACATTTTTCACCTTTACAAAGGCGGCGGATGAAACTGGTCAACTGGATAGGCTTTGAGATATGCTGCATTAATATTACAGTAAGAAAAATTCAGAAAGAGATTCAACTTTGCTGTACTACGACATAACCAAGTCCTGACTCTTCCAGGACTGCTGGCAATGGTGCCGTCTAACCCCAACGGGAATGGGGAAAACTCCACAAGCATGATGGGAATTCCCACTGCAGATGCCGCCCAGGACGCTGCTGCAGCCTCTGGTATCGCTTACGGCCTAGCGCCTCCTTGCAATTCTTTTGCATAACACGTTACTTAAGACCACAGGGAACCTAAAGCCGCGATTTACTTTTTTTCTTATCTTAATGTTGTACATGCATATAGTACGACGTTTATTTTCACTTCACCAGAATTTCTTCCCGTTCAGTGTAAATCGGTCGATCTCAGTGTTGCCCCTCACTAGTCGGAAAGCTGCTGTTGCTTACATAGCGTTTCTCAAAAGACACATTTGCACTGTTACATAAAAGGAGCTATGAACACTCTTTCCCTCACAAGCCTCTCGTTCTCCTCGCCCTTAAAGTACTCACTAAGCGCTGACACTGGAGACTCCTTCCACAAATGTTAAATAGACTTCTCCTTACACAAAGCTCCACCATCTCAACAATTATAGGTTTTATTTGTTAAACAGCAA